CCTGAGTTGATTCAGTCATTGGATTCAGGTGTGCTGGACCAGAGAAACGTCTAGAAGTTGCAGGAAACCTTGAGGACTTAATTTTGACAGGATTTGGTTGATTTGGATAGCCTTTCTACTTTAATGAATAAATATTATCCTTCATTTGATAATCTGAAAAATAAAAAACCAACAAAAGTAAATTAGTAAAGAAACAAAACCCCATCTGCAGCTCTGTATATTATGTTGATATTGCAATAAGGCACAGATTTGCAATACGTGTTAAACAACTGAAAGTTCTCAGATACATTTTACAGTAAATACTCTTAAACCTTTAATGACATAAGTGACATTCCTTACATCTCTGAAACAGAAAGCCTTTACTTGCCGTTTAGATTTCTCTCTTTTATGGGGCTTTTTAAGTAGCCTACCTAATAAAGAGCTGTTAGTAAAATTATCTTTACAGAAAGAGTTAAATAGATCATTAGGTAACAAAGCCTTCTACTATATAAACATCCAAAACATAATATAAAGACCTCATGTTTTTCACCCTATGAACAGAAGTGTTCATAGGGTAATGCTGCTCTGCTTTCTTTGTGCAGCTGTGGTGATACAATAATTCATTGAAAACTGCCCATTTTCTGTCTTTCAGATATGTTGCCAAGCAACCATGGTTTATAGAGCCCCCATTTCCTTTGAGCAGAAAGCAAACCAGGAAAAAAACCCACATAATTACTAAATTCGGTAAGATCCAGAGATTAGTATCTGTCCAATAGCTTTCTAATTACTGCCCCACATACATTGTGAAACTGATGATTGCACTGAGGAGCACAAAAGTGGACTTCAGTAAAGAAATAAGGTCACTTTAACATGATGCATTCTAGTGTTCACTCCAGTCTATTGGTAAAAATCACTAATTGTTGGAAAGCCATTGTAAAATAAACAAGGGGTTAGCTTTTTTTCTCCTAAAAGGGATTTTCCTAGATTTATATTAATATTTTAGTACACAGATTGTTTCATCAGACCGCATCGATGTTAAGTGTACACCAGGGGCAGTGTTTACTAAAGCTGTGCTGAGTGGATGGTAAAAGGGTTTGAGATCTACAAAAGTTTTTTTTTTATTATTCTAAAAGAGAAATGTTTTTGAAGAAAAACAAACAAAAAAACGTAGATGAAAAAAACAGCCGTCTGCCTAACATTTGTGCTCGTCCAGTTATTATTAGTTTAAACTCGCTCTTTTACTCCACAGGGCAGATGTTGAACATTTTGGGAAGCACTGTTCCCTATTGAATGATTATAGACAAAAATGATATAGAGAACTGAAACCCTAAATCTCTCCTCATATTGGCCGTTTTACTCAGTCAATTATAACTAAACGTTTGCAACTGAAGATGAAACACTCAGAATCAACCATCAGTCTTTACTCGATGTAGGTCAAGGCCTCTATTTAGATTCACATCGTCCTTTAGCAACTTAACCCAATGAGAATTCTGGCAAAATTAAGTATTTGTTCGTCTTACAGATTGTACAAAATACTGGACATTAGAAAACAAACTGCTTCAGGAAGATCAGGTAACACAGCAGACAACCAGGGATCATATTGTGGAGCTTTTTAATTAGCTTATATAACATTGTAGGGATTGAACATCTGATAGACCAAGATTTACCTCATCAGCTGGAAAACAGGAGTGGTGTCGCACAACTACTAACCTACCAAAACTGCACCTCAAGCCATTAGAATCAGTGACCAGTGTCCTGTGTGTTTTAGATGCTTCTCTGGTAAAACTTACCTTCACGAAATATATATATATATATATATATATATATATATATATATATATATATATATATATATATATATATATATATATATATATTTTATCTCTGCAACACTTAAGATTTGCTGAGAAGATATTTTTAAACATTTAGACTCAGAGGAAGGACAAGGAGAGAATTAGATAGACAAGCAACTGAGAGTGCTATGGTAACAATGATGGAGCTAATCCTGCACATTTCTGGCCTCTTTGGAACACTTTCTCATTTGTAAAGATGCTCAGAAGCAGCTTGGAATTTATTCAAAGATAAAAGACCTAAATGAAGAGAAATCCTGGAGTAAAATCTGCACAAGGCCACAAATGTGAAGACTGGGGCTGAGATCTACCATCCAGCTGGGTTATAATGTTCTAGAATGGCCCATGTAAGTCGCCCTCCGTCCAAGTCTGACAAAATTAGAGCTCGTTTAAAAGGAATTGGTGGAAACTTAAGTCTAAAAATGTGCAAAACTGCAAAACCTATTTCAAATTGTTAAGTCAATAGGGATGAATTGAAATGCATGCCAGAACAAATAATTTCAGTCCTTCAATTTTCTTTAACCTACAAATTATCTTTTACCTTGAGTTTGTCCATCTATTATTACTGTAAAATAGGCTGAAGTTTCTGGTTGTGATGCAGCAAAATTCTTAAACTTTATATCAGATCGTCATTATTCTGCAGTCAAGTGAAAACAGTCCCCATGATGTGATATCAAACATTGTATTAAAATTATACACTGACAAATATGTGACAGGAGGGGATTGGGTAAACAGTTAGTTGGTGCTGAACAGTGATTAACTCACATTCATTCACAAAGTTCAGCAGTTCACAGGAACAAGGGTAACAACAATGATGATTTGGATTCCAGAAATTATAATATTAAACAAACCAATCACAATCTTCAGTTTGAGTAAAAGAGATTTTTGATGCAAAACCAAAATACACAAATTGCTAATCCTACAGTAAAAATCCCTTCTGTTATATTTAATTCATTTTTACTCTTTAGTCATTTATTAACTTTCACATAAATACTATCCATTTCATTTCCCTACTTATATTTACAGATCAGAGCCATACGAGTAAAAATTAAAAACATCTTACTAAGGTTACAGGGTTCAAAGTGCAGGACTGTGATGATGGGGGTGCATCGGTCACTGGAACATGTATTCACACACCAAACCATGCTGACACCAAACCAGAGCTCACAACAAAACTTTTCATACATATAAAAGCCTTCATAAGGTCATCCAGGATAACAGGAACAAAGCCCCACTTTGTTAAACCAAGCAACAGGAGCCATTCTTCAGACAGCAATAGGAAGCAGTTTCACCTCAGACAAGGAGAGGAAAGCAACAGGAGGCTTATAACAATAAGCATCTTTAAAAGTCCTCTAGTATTTAATGAAATCCCTTTGTAACATAAGCTGTTCTATCATTTTAAGTTGCATCAATTTCAAACCTCACATCATCAAAGCTCTAAACTGACTGCTTCAAGAGCCGTTTTTGCCACCTGCTTGCACCGTCAATTATTTTCTAAACAGAAACCTGAAGATCGGCCAAGACTGTACTAACTGCCTGGCAACGCTGGAGCACTCGGACATTTTCTGCCCTCTAAAACTCATTTATACTTCAGTGTGACGCAAAAGGAGAAAATAACTCCTCCCAAAATGAAGAGGAATGGATTTGATGTTTAGTTAGATAAAAACATTGTTGGAATCAATGCAGGGAAGAAGAAAGGTACCGAATAAGAAGTTTATAGAAAATAAACAGTTATCCCTTACTGTGACAGCTCAGTTAACATCTTCAAATTAAACACACAGCTCTTTGCAAAAGCATTCAGAAAACTTGAACATTTACACTATTTTACATGGATTGCATTGTGATAAGCAACACAAGGTGATGTGCAAATGTAATAACCTAACAAAACAAAAGGAAAATTAGTTTTTGATAAAATAAAAAAAGAAAAATCAAACATGTAGTTTAAAACAGCCCTACAGAGTTAATGCCTTTGGATTGTGCCTGTAAAGGCTTTGCAGAGACAAGTTGTCCCCTTCTTCACTGCATCAGTGGGCATCAGCTCCCGGGCCTTGCCATAGACTGGATATAGGTCTGACCTAATTTCCTTTTTAATTCTATTGGTCCACATCTACACAGCATTTTGCTGCCATTATAGTGTTTTTTTACACCAATAACAATGTGATTGCATTATTAAGGGTCTTTAAGATGCCTTTTGATCACCAGTTCCATCTAATAATTGTGTGAAAATCTAGGAAAAAGTTCAAGTTGTATGAATACTTTTGCAAAGCATTGTATGGATATTGAGCCATTTAGCACCCAATGCCCTGCTCTCTAACCACTAGGCCATCACTTTGTACTAACTCATCCCTTTTTTATATTAAAGAAGTAAAGGGTCATCTGGAAAAGGAAATTTTATTCTATATGAGCAGCCCTCAAGTTGTCAGATAACTCTTGGCCAAAACGAAAAATCTAACAATAAGTGATAACATTAGTTTTACTGTTTTAAGCATCTAGCATCCTGAGGTGAGTCAAGCATCAGCATATAATTATAAAATGAATTCACATTTTACCGCCATACTTAAGCTGCAGCTATTCTGATTTCCAAGATGCTTTTTGATCACTTGTTTTATATAAGAAATGTGATAAACTCGAAAAGTTTAGTAATATGATTACTTTTGCAAAGTACTGCATGGATGAATAATTATTTTTGCTGTTATAGCTAGAGAATATAAAAAGAAAAAGTTCAGAGGGAACTTTATGGCTTTATTGTCTGGACCTTTTTCAATGCAAGCAGTAGTGATGCGGATGCGATAGACACAGTGCTGCACGAGGCGTCCTTTTTTATTAACGATGCACCTCTAAGCGAACGTCGTGTGCCGGGGCACGACGCGTTTAAGTCACAGGTGTCACACACTTAAATCCTCAGGCTCAACATCAGACACGCAGATGGCAGTTTTTACTTACATAACACACAATTATTTCACAGCTCGCCTGGAGCTAAAAATCTTTTTCACACTTAACACAAACATCACAATCTACATTCTTTATGCATGCAGTGTCTTCTGTTTACTGATTTTGTTACAAGGTGCCAGGTGTGATTCTTTTTAAACATTTTTTAAAGATATATTTTTTTATTGTAATTCAGCCTTATAGATTTTTTTTATTGGTTTAACTCTTTATGACTAAAAACGTTAAGGTGACATCATTTATGAGTGAAATGTTACTCATTTTGTCGGTGCCTTTTAATCTCTGTTTCTGCTGACAGATATATGTGATCAACAGCGGCAGCTGAGACAGAGGAAATGCTTCAGGTGGCTCTTAAAAATGTATACAGTGCAGTCGTGTATTAGTGAATATTTACAGGCGCAAAAATGAACAGCTAGTGGAAGAGAGACAGGAGCTTGGCACAGTGACACAGACCCATGAGGTTCTGTTCAACCAAGTGGAAATGAAACATGTGGGAGAGATTGTATTTCTTCATCCTCCTCTTTCTTCTCACTGCGTGGGGGAGCAGTCATCCAGATCCAGCAGCTCTCTGACCAGTTTTTCTCCGAACTGCGCCCGGCTGTAGCGCTTGACGGCGTAGGCGTCAGACATCTTGTAGAGGATGTATGCGTTGTTGATTGCGATGCTGATGCTCAACCAGAACACCTGCTGCCAAGTCTTGTTGGGCTTATGGAAGATAAAATATCTATAAGACAAAGAGACATGGTTTACCCAAAAACTGAAAAAAAATTATAGTTATTTTTTTTTTTTACAGCCATATTGTTTCATTGCTTTCTTTATAGCTGCCGTACCATAGTTTCTTATCTTGTCATGTATGCTTTTGTAAAACACCTGTTAGGTAAATCAAAACATGACTAAACAATTAGATTTTTTTTATACATTAACTCTTATCTCCCCTGTCAGTTTTAATGCAACCCTGGTCTGAATGGTTTGTGTATACTGTATTATTCAGACGTATCAGGAGAGGGTATGTTATTTTCTATAAAATGACAATATTGTTTTAAAATTTTCTAAAACTAAAGGAGCAATTACTGATTTGGAAAAGTACATTTAATGCCATACAAGTTTGTCAAAGTTGTCAAATAACCTTTAGCTAATGAATAAAATAGGAAGTGATAGCATTAATTTTACAGTTAGATCCAAGCTTCAAGCATCCCAGAGTGACTGACGCACCTGCATGCTATAATTAAGTCATATTATTTGGTCATTGTTGTGATTTTTAGCTTCCACCTGCTAATCATGTCTGCTACACACTACTGTAGCTCCTGAACTTCAGCCAGCTTCTTTGTTTCCTTCATTTCATTACTGGACAAACTGATTAATCCAGGTGTGTCTGACCTCAGTAACCATGACAACATTAGCCAGACACACCTGGATTAATCAGTTTGTCCAGTAATGAAATACAGGAAACAAAGGAGCTGGCGGAATTTCAGGAAGTGGTGGAGTTGGGCATATAGTCCACTCTGTTTCCCTGAAAAGCAGGATTATATGGGGAATAAAATAAATATGGTTCAGTGTCAAATGCTTTGGTAAGTGATGAGGGAGCATTATCATTCAATGGCATTATCCACTTGCTCTACTACCATAATGGAGGCCAAATATGAAACAGTGTGTTATAGATGTATAACTGACGAATCAGCCGACTAATATCGTTTCTTAAAAGATTCTGTATAATTCTTGTATCATTTAGAGACACTGATAGTATAAACAGACTGTTTTTTATATTAAAGGTATAGTGGATGATGTTGTTTTTCTGGGTGGATCATCCAAATAAGTGGTCCTCCTAATTGTCAATCATTCTGGTGATATGTTTACATAAGGCCGTCCTACGTTACGTGCTCATCCCCATTTTCCCTTACCAGTGGTGAGTCTGACATAGTGAAAGTAAGCTTGTATGAGCTATGCAAACAGCAACTTTTAAACAGAGCGTGCACAAGGAGAAATGGGCTCCCACCCGTTTAATAGGCGTTCCCACTCAGGAGCGGGTACAGGGTGATTCATGTGCACTTTTTTTTCTTTTTTTAAGTGGAAAGGGCGGGTCTTTTCAAAAATGTACAAAAAAATTCTCCAATATACCTTTAAAACATGTTTTTTGGACTGTGGTATGAAGCCAGAGCATCCAGATAGAGGAAAAAAAAAATATAAACAATCAGCAAATAGTACAGATCAACTTTTAGCTGAGTCTGATTTTTGCCTTTTTAATGGCCTAAAATGTCATGTAACAATTTTTGTGTCCTAAGATATAAAGCATGTCAACATCTATTTAGCAAAATATACTCTCTCCAAAATATCAGTCTTGATTTGAAAGAGAAAATTGCTTCTTAGTTGAAAACTTGTGATAAAGTGGAATATCACATAATATGTTTACAACATCCTTTATAGTTATTAACACACAAAAGCCTTAAAATAAATGGTAATTATGAAGCATCCAAGATGAGGTTCTTTAAACAGAAAACTCAGGACACTTTTTTAACTCCCTTCCCCTCCTCTCTCTAAACATTGGCCAGTTACATAAGACACAGTAACAAGGATTCATCCACAGTGCAGATAAATATAGAACAAATGATTTTTTAAGCATTTCTCTAAGACTCAGATGCATTGATGACAAAAAGAAGCTTCAAATTACCAAAAAACAAAGACTATACAATAACAGTATTGTGATGAATCAGGCAGTATTGGGTCCACACATACTTGCTATACTTGTCGTCATATTTGCAGATGTAACTGAGGTGTGCTGCAAAGGCCTCGACGGCGAGGGGGCACGGGATCTCTCCACTTTTCCTCTTAATAATTATACCTGCCAAAGACACAGATGATGAATGGTAGAGCGTCTGCTAAAAGAGAGCAGCTGTAGTTTATGATTTTCTGTGGCAAATGTGACTCTATAACTATCCATACAATAGGTTTTGATGTAATTATAAAATGTAATTATAAAATAAAAAATTAAAGGATTTAAAGCTATTTTGTGTCTTATTACTGATTTAATAAAATCCCAACAGACGCCTACATATACACACAGGCCAGATAAAAGGGTAGTAACCATTTAAACAATCTGGGACATGGACACGCCCACACACACACACTCGTTCTGCCATCGTAGTGAGGACCATGTGTTGACTTATACACAGTCAATTAGGCAGTATGAGGGTGATATCATCATCCTTCCCCCTCCTAAAAATGAATTGTTGCATATTAAAAGATGTTATTGCTTTTCAGTATCAGGAATCCTTGATCTTGTGTGATTATTTCCTGATGGTTTGCATTTTAGCAAAACAGTGAATCTTATTTTCACTAAAAACATAACCAGAAGACCTTTTAAAATAAAATTCACCTAAAAAAAAGAAAAAAAAAAGAAAGGGGCTTTAAAGAGGATTATTTATTCTCTTATTCACCTTCTTTTGTTGGTGAATAAGCATTGGTAAGAAACCTGAAGTGTCCCTTATTGTACCAGCTGATCAGGGACATGCTGCCTTTCATCATGACCCGTGACTGGCCGCGCTGCGCTGGCGTGGAGCTGCAGACCAGCATGCTTTGTGGCAAACCTGTACAGTCACTCTTCCTGGTGCTCAGTAAGCCACAGCAGTAGATATCTGTACAGGGAAACAAATATATATATAAAAATTACCTCACTCATAATAATGTGCACTTTTCAAAAGGAACTTTAAAAAGATGAATGGAAAAGCTAAAAAATAATTAGCATGTTTTACTACCATGGACACTTTATTTTAAAGTTCCTAAAACAAATCTTTTTTCTTTGATGTCCTTTTGAACTTTGCCTGATTCAGCCATGTTTTAACTACATTTTTTAATGATAACCTTTTAGAAGATCTTAGAACATATGTGTAAATTAAAAAGAAATTGATAAATGTATTAAAAATCTGGTGTATATTTATTTTTTCAGTCCATTTGTGGGTGGTGTATTTTGAGTCAACCTCGCCTCAAAGGTTAATTAAAGATCATTGTGTAGAAATGGTGGGAGTATCAAGTTGTAGGAGGGACAGAAAAGATGGTATAGTTTGATATGAAGATAAGTAGAGCTGCATCCTGTGAGACGCACACTGTAAGGGTATCGATCAAGGCGCATTCATGTTTCAGAATGGACAAGTCTAAGTACAGACTAAACTACATTTACAAATCCATGGGGACACTCGGACGATAGAAAAACCCTTCAGTCTCCAGTAGATTATAGAGCAATAACTCAAAGGACTTTAGCTAAAGCTGTAGCTGCACTGAAATGTGGTTTTTGAAGTTCTAACTCATGGGAGCCAAATACAAATGCAAGTTATATTTCTACTATTTCTTTCTAACCAACTAAACTGTATTCTGTTATCTAAGTAAAAAAGGAGGCAGTGTGGGTTTGTAGTGTATTTTTCCTTGCTTTAGTATGGGAACAAAAGAACCTAATCAGAACTTAAGGTTTTAGCTGTTCCTCTTTTATCAATGCAACAATTGACTCTTTATTTTTACTCAGATGAGCTGAGGGAAAGTAAGCATGTGGGTCAGTGTTGCTGATGCGTTAGCAATTCACCAAACAGCTTCTGTCTATGTTCACGAGTGTGGATGAGTGCTGCAGAATAATGCAGAGCAATTAAGTCTGCTAATTACACATGCAAGATAAAATTGAGAGAAGAAAATGTAGAACAGTGTGTCCACACAGTCATTTATTGTGGAGGAAGGAGATGTTTATAGCTGGCTCTTGCTGTAATGGCACAATATAGATCATATCTCAGGCCCTTTAGGCTTTATAGTGCAGGGAAACTATTCAGAATAATTTTTGATTAAAAAAAATACATAAGAAGGAAGTAACTGTAACTCCACTTCTGCTGCAGCCGTCTTCCTTTCTCGGCTTTGTTTTAAATCAAGCAGCAGTACCAGGTGAGAGTAATATAACACTTTATTTTAACCCCTTAGTCACCCCCCCTACTCTACAGCGTCTCCATTTGTGTTTTGTGAAGCAGCAGCAGCAGCTTTCAGATTCTAGTTTATCAAGAAAAAAGGGATGCTTTATCTCAAAAAAAACATATTAAAACTAAAAGCTCTCTCTGTATGCACTCTGATGTCAGCTTTTCTGAGATGCGTGACTGACATCTACTTCGAATGTATGAATGTAGACAATCTTCTTGTTCCATTTTTTTCCCACTGGGCTCAAATACACTAATGCTATAGAAAAACATGCAGGAAAGTTTATGCCATAATCATTTGTTACAATCCTTATAGATGTAAAATGTGAATCAAATAAATCTTTAAACCAAAGGGGGCTAGGAATAGCCTGATTAATGCAATGAAGATTTCTCCTTCATTTCATACCTTTGCAGTCTTCAAAGGAAAATGGTTCAATAGTTCAAAAATATAAAAACTAACTTTTCAAAGGCTTAAATGTTGGAGTAAAACCCTCTGTTAATGCATTATGGTTAAAGGTTGAAACATAATGAGAATTCAAGCTGAAATCTTTATGCAGTGTGGTGTTATTTATTTATTTTTTTGCCTGTGCTGTTTAGCCTGAGAATTAGGTCATATAAGCTCATTTAAAAATAAACAAATCAAATATTTAAAAAGATTTTAAAAATCCTTAAGACAAGCAGTGAGATTACAATCTATACTCCAAAGACAAAGAGGAGGCTGTCGGCTGCCCTGTTGCGCTCACGTACCCTGCTTGCTGAATTCAGTGAAGAGGCCGAGGCTGGTGATGGACGGCCCCGTGAAAATGATGGTGTTCTTTCCAGAGATGTTCTGACAGAGCTGCTTGGCCACCAGGCTGTGGAGCTGGGGCTTGTTCTTCAGGGCAGCCAGTCCATCTGCGCCCTGTCCCTCCTTCAGATGGACGGAGATCTACACAGAAACCAGACAGAACATCAGGCGTGGAACAGCCTGTCGTGTTTCCTGATTAAGCACTCTTTTATCATCCTGAAATGAATGTCATTACTGAAGTAGAAAAGCTCTATAGTCATTGTCACCCCTGATGTAGATGTGGAAGAGTCATTAAAATTGACTTTATTCTAGTAGCAGAATCTCTCCCCTGACAATATTTCAATAAATTCAACTTTTAATATTCTATATAGTTCATAAAACTGTTTTTCAAATGGAACTGCATAATTTTACAATTGGAGGACACGGGGGGAAGGATTGTTTCTAATCTCTAATGAATGTCCTCAATAAAGCTCTCCTCTTAAGCTCCCTGCAGTTTTCTATCGGCTATAACTAGGGACAGAAAATGCTGATTCTTGGATCGTTTTTGGAATAAGATCCAATTCAAAAACCAAAGTTGACTGATTCCAAATCAAATTTTAAAACAAAGTCCATCAGATTTGTAATTAAACTACCATCATATCTATAAGAGTTTTCAAAGCTGGTTAGTTCATTTAGACACATTTTTTTTTATAGAAAATACTATCGGTATCAATGAGCGTCACGTTGTAATTAAATGAGAACAGTTGTTTTTTCTAACACAAGAGTGACTAGATTTATTCAGTATAAATACTGTTTTCTTTTAGTGCAGACTTAAACTATTTATTTTTTGGTCATTTTGTATGCAGAGTGTATACAGAATATATATTGCATATTGCAGTTGGAGTAACATAAACCTTACCGATATAAAGTGCTGTGGTGATCAGAATGTAGCAATGTGGGAGTAAAAGAAACCAGATTAAAATAATGGTGCAAAAGGGCATTAATATGAAAAGGGTTCAGTGCAGTGCAAAATAAATATGGGGCAAAAAAAAGTTGTGTTAAAAGGATTTGAAAAGTTCAGCAATGTTGATCAATGTAAGGTCATGCTTCTGCAGAAAATTTGAAAAGTTGTAACATCTTTATTGGAGATAAGGATTAATGTAGATTTTACCTTTCTGGGCTTGTAAATATGGGACTTATTATCAATCAATGAGATTAATTTTACTTTTTAAAATCCTGTATTCAGTGTTAATCCACATTTCCTCTTAATGACGGTATTATCAAAAATAAATAAGCATCCAGATGACTGAAGGTTGAAACTATTATATTAATTTCTTCAAATGCAAATGTATGTCAAAATTCTAAGTGAAATATTAAAAGTTAGAAAAATTAATAACTGATATTATTATTCCATCCAGATTACAATTCATTTATATTTACCCTCTGCTACATTAAGTCTCTACATCTTAGAAAAAACAAATCATTACCCCTTTTTGTAAAACAGTTTAATTTTCTAGTCATCACTGAGTTAAATTGCATTAGTCTAAATATTCCTCGTTTATCTACTTAAGCTCTGCAACCATTAGATCAGTAGGACAGTGTTAATGCTTCTGCAAGATGCTCTAAAAAAATGCTTATCTGTTCTTGTGTGCTGCACGGACTAATGCACCATGATTGATCTACATCACTCAAAGTCATTTTTTCTTTACTTTTTATGTTTTTCATTCCCTGGATAGTCTTGATCCAGAGGAAGAATGCATCAGTGGAGTCTTAGGTTGGTGTGCAGCAAACTGGTATATGAGGAGCTGCTGCTAAATGGCTGCAGTCAATATGGATGTTAATGGTTTCTCACTTATGGGATAATGGGATGTGGCTACATTTTATAAAGAATATCCTGTTAAACGTGTTCAGATGTTTTATTCTAATGTAAACTGTTGTGGTCCTAGAAATCTATAAATAACTAATCGATTGCTTAGACCGCTTTCATGGAGGAGAAAACAAATACAAATTAACAGCTAAAATCTTGTTGAATAAATGCAACTCTGGCTTTTTTCCAGGTTAAATAAGAAAACACTCTCCACATGTGGTGTTTATAGTCAGATAGCTTAATTGAATCTATTTATGGGATCTGTGTAGTAAAAGGTCTTATATTTACAATCTGGCGTTCTTGTTCTTCTCTTATTGCTCCTTAGCTTTTGATTTATTTGTTGGCTTAGTCAATCTCAACTAAAAGTGTTTGTGATAAAGAGTCTTTCTTCAGTAAGAGCCTCCTTTACATACTTTTCAAAGTGGAAGTACTGTCTCTAATGCTTTAACACCAGACTCTTTAATCTTTTTACCTGATGGGGTTTCCATCTCATTGATGATGGGTCTCGCTCTCATGTTTCAGGGATTTATTTGGAGATTAGTGTTCGCACAGTAGATTATACGCTTCTATTTCTGCTGTTGGTTATATGGGTTTCTGCGTCATGTAGTGTGTGACAATAGTAGAAGTAAAATCTTTGATTTTACTCAGAAATGTACATATGAATCATTGTTAATCGTGCATTTGTTGCTTTTATCTTCCACAGTCTAAATACCATCTTTTAGATGACAATAGTTATGGATTTGTTCAATTTTTTCCCCCCATTAGCGCTACTTAGCTCTCCTGTTTGCCCCAAATCTGCTGATTGGTTGATCAGGTACTTGTGGCCTCTCCTGCCTGGAAAAACTAAAACGTTTTTGCTTTTGTAGACAGCAGTTTGATCCACAGGATGAGCTGCTGCAGCAGAACTTTGATGGAAACCTTCATGTAAGGATGGTAAACAGTCGCATTCCACTAAGTTGGACATGTCTTGCTGTGGGAGGTAATTAACTCACCAAAATCAACAGGTGAGTGTTTTAAGAGCTCAGTAGGATGAAAAAAAATAGAAGCTTAATTTTTTTACTCCATCCACCCCAATACCCCCAACGACTTTCTCAGATTTCTTTAAAACATTAAAACAGACTATTTTCGTTTTAATGTTTAGCTTGAGTAGAAATTAAGGGAAAAAAATGCTTTGAATTGATTTTTATTAGGAGTAAAAATCTGGAAATTGATTTTCTATTCATCCGTTCTGATGTTCAGGCATTCATGAAAAAGGGGCAAGAAAAAAATAACTGAAAACATTAGAATTGACCTTTAGAGCATGCAAAAAGCCATGTTGCGAAACATTTAAACACATGCAAGAAGATGCTTAGTATTGCTAAGATGAGACAAAGCTGTATTTTTTAGATTCACTAATGTGTAAATCTAGGCCCAAATCAGGAAGCATGATGTACAGATCATATTGTTTATATCAAAGCACATCGTGTATCAGAATGGCCCAGTCAAAGTCAGGACCTAAATCCAGCAGTCTGATGCAAAACTTGAAAAGATCACAGACACCAAGCCTAAAATCGGATTGAGGATCACTTACTTTGCAAAAATAAAGAGGTAAAATTCTTTTCAAAATGTTTAAGGTGCTACGCTAAAACGAGTTTTCATTCCTCCTGCATAACAGCTTTACACAAGTTTGTTTGGTTTTATTAAACATTTTCAAGCCCACCTTCTGGATCATCTCCAAGTTCCCTTGTTAAGGTTAGATCCTGTCATCAAACTACTGGATTCAATACTTTGAGGGAATCTTTGGGTTTGATTTCATTCAGGAAGACATCATCTCAGTGGAAAAAGGACATATTAACAGGGAAAATAGACGAGAAAAACCTATGTAAACAAACACTGACAGTGGATTTAATCTTTTAATCCTTTAAAAGAGTGGTTAACTAGTAAGCTTTTTTTCAGGATGTCGGCACCAAAATGTTTTTAAACAAAACGAAGAATAGTTCTATCAATAGGAGCAAGAAGACTCAGAGGCAAATACCTAAAAATATGTTGCATGAAATCACTGGGGTATAAAAATGTGAACCCGTATGGTTTGTTTAATGCTTTGCTTTAAGGAGGGTTGGACAGATCTGTCTGCTCTGGTCTTCAGAGGATCTCTGGTGTTATATAAGAGACAAGCGTGGGAGTGGAAGGTCACATTGAGCGCCGTGTTGTCAGTCAGAACTGACACGGCAGCTGGGATTGGAATCTAAAGCCAGTAAATAGTCCACTATGTGGCATCAAAAAGAAATTCACAAGCAGAAGATATTTCTCATCACAACATCCAATTCTGAAAGTAAATTGTGCAGTTTTTTTTCAACATCAATCCCACAAAATGAAAACTGTAATAAAGCTGTTTTCTATGTCCTGCTTATAAATCGAATAGGTTGAGACAGAGGCTGTAGATCAAAGCCTCTGATGCTTTTTTCCATGAAAGCCTTAATGGAAACTTTCCTGCCTCATATTCCTGTACCTTTCAGCTTCAGATTTCAAAGCAGAAAATTAAAACCGATTCAAAGCAAACACTCAATCTCCCACCACCTTTTTCAAAAAGTGATGCGATTTTTATTTATTGCTGTAGAGTGATGTTTCCCCTCCATCAGTGGCTGCCTCTACCTGACAGATGAATCCGGTGGAGGTGCACTGTCGCACCCACAGACTGAACTTCCTCTTCTTCCTCTTCCTCAGATCCCTTTCTGTACAGGTGGTGATAAACACAGGGTCCTCGTCTATCAGCGGCTCATGGAGAACCTGAAAAATACACAGACCAATATGTGATTCAATGAACCAAAGTTGAGAATTCACACTTTCCTCTTTTCTCTAAAGGATAAAAAATGTAAAATAAAGAAAACCAAAATTTTTAATAATAATAATATATTTTCCAGTTCCATCATTTATCTTTTAATCAACTCCAGAGTTTAAACAGAATGGATGGTGAGTTCTGACCCTGAATTATAAGTCTATCAAACATTGTGTTGTTTTATTATATAAATAAATCCAATAGCGAAAATAGTGCTTCAGATCTCAAAAGTATAAAAAGTGTGACATTTTATGGCTTGGAAAAACTTTCTAAGCAGAGAACCAACATCTTTTGCTCATTTGTTCCATAGAGACTTTCTCCTTTTGTTTAGATTTAATAAGCTTGAATTTGGTTAAATATATTTATTTTGATACATCAGCTAGCTAATGAACAGTGACTACATTTTTGGGCACTATTGGTTTAATCATTTTTTCAAGCACAAAAGGATAATAATAAAATATTTATTGAGCAGTTATAAGAAACCATTTGAAAAACAATTTTTACAGCTAGATTGAAATAGTTCACATAGCACCAATTGACAACAAAGTCATCTCCTGTTATCACTGCACAAGACAAACTAATCCATTCATCTTTTATCCATTAAAACAGAGGTTTCAGTCTGTGATCCCAAAAATAAAAATGCAGCAGAATTGCGACCACCAAAAATGACATTCACTCAGCTGATTTACTTTATATTTATTTATACAACTTTAAAATGCCATTTTTTTTCATTTAATTCAAACATTTTTTAATGGTACACTGAATATTTTAATTTGGCATTATTGATTTAAAGGTATTTTAATAATTCGAATCATGCTTTAGATAAATGTTTCATCTACTTATTTCACACTGATTGTGAAAAACCATCGTGGGACATCCCCATTTTAGTGTCACGACCCCTAGGGTCATAAAACAGAAAGCTATAAATATACCAATCATTTAAATCTCTTTTGATTTAATGAGACATATTCTAACTCAGTGGAGCTGTCATGCATATATTGGGATTGTGGAAGGAAGATGGAGTACCCTTTGAGAAACCAAGCTTGCACAGGGAGAAATAAATATAATAGCAAATATATAGTCATATGTTTATATTACTATTCTTTTATGTATTTATTACTGTTTTGAAGGCTGCACTTTAAAAAATTTAATGGTTTTAAACGAAATTTATTTTTGTATACACTTGTGTATACAAAATGACAAAATAAATCTGTCTAAGTCTATAACATGGAAAGTTTAGTTATGATGTTAGTAATAAACTAGAGGTTGTGGCTTTTTATTCGTCATGTGTAAATATTCAGCTTGTGCTGCATCTCTTTTGCATTTTAGAATTAAAGCCAAAGAGAAGCTAGGATGAAAGGTCTAGTTCTGCCCTAGCATTAATAAAAACCGGACTTTTCTCAGTCAAATATGGTGTTATTGTTTCATTAAAAAATTATGATGCTTTCTAGCCTCGTAGTGAATGAATTCATCAAAGCCAGAGTTCTCTCTGTGGGTTACAGTCCAGGCCGTAATGACCTACAGTAAGGCTTTGTTTCAAAGAAATGAGTCCTTAGTTAAACCTTTACTCAGCCTCGGGAAAAAACAAACAAACATACGTATTTTGGTGAAGATTCTCAGTCATCCAGGTCATAGTCATTGCAAAGAAGTTAGAAAGAAAGATGGAACAAACCTAATGGTTTCCTTTTCAGAGGCATAGGCCAGTATCTGGTATTGCAGGCCAACAAGAACTCAACCACCCCCCAATTAGTAAGGGGTAGACCTGTTCTTCTGGTTCAATTTGCATGTTTTCTAAAGCTTAACAAGGCTTTGTTGGGCTACTCTTTAAAGCTTGGAACCCGATGCTAATTCAGACATTTTGAGTTGAAAAAGCTTCCCGGATGGAAAGTGAAACGTCTTCAGACTTGGAAACCAAAACCAGTGGATCGTTAACTTCTTTTAGATTTTTTGGGAAACACACATATTCATCATCTCCAAGTTAAAAAAATATATATATATTTAAGGATGTTGCTTTCATCTTCTTCCCTATACAACAATTTAAGAAAAAAAATACAAAAACCTGGTGCATGCGCACAGGTTAGCACAGTTGAAAAAAAACAAAAAAAAACATCTTTCCTGGTAAACGTTTATTGAATGAGTAAGCTATTATCTGACAAAGCTTCGCTTTCAGCCTGTGCTTCTTTCAGCGTCTGCACCCAGTCTGTCCCTGGCACAGTCAACTAACAGATGAAATAAACTGGCCTGGATAAAACACACACACACACACACACACACACACACACACACACACACACACACACACACACACACACACACACACACACACACACACAATCCCTGGCAGCCTATCCTGCCCTCATTATTTCAATTTTGTCATTTTTAGATGCAAGCAGATGGAGATGATCTGTGTACACATGCAGTAATTCTATAAAGTAACTCCTCAATATTTAAACTGTGTTCCTTTAAATTTGCAAACTTGAATTAAATTTGGGTGTGTTATAAAGGGGGTTACAATATTCTCAAATGTATTTGTGGCATAGAAATCATCTTTCATTGTTTGGCCGATCTCAGAGGCACTTAAATGGCTCAAACTAAAAGCAGTCAGTTAATTTCTGCTACTTCCATTTCTTTTTTTATGCTGGCACTAAAACTGAAGCTCTTTACCTGAGAAACTATTCATCTCGAGGGACCCTTAATGAGCAAACACTAAATATGAACTTAAGTTAGTTTTTTTAATGAGACAAAATGGATCCAAAGGAACTGCCGACCATTTTTCTCTGCAACCTTCCTCACAATTTGGGAAATACAGAAGATTTTTTTCCTTCTTTAATTTCATTGTAACAATGGTATTCACCATGATACTTTCTCTTTGTTCTTACATATTGACCAATGTTTGATACTTTAAACCATTTTGAATGTGTTTTTTCAAGATCTTTCCTAGCAGTAATAAAAGGTTTGATAACTCATACCATTTGCCATGTTACAGCCACAAATTGATCATAAATCAGAAGCAGATTTATTGCCAAGTAGGTTTACACTTACAAGGAATTTGACTTGGAGATGATGGTGCAGACAAATCCGATATAATAGAGAATACAGAATCTTTAGCTTTATACAATATACTATATACAGTATATAGTATATGACCATATATTACATACAAAGTAGACTATGCGTTAATGTAACGCAGGAGGTCTGGAGATGCTACATATATGTAGCTTGTAGGTCCTGAACGGGGGAGGGAGAGAGGCAGTGCCAGTGTCACAGGGTCTCTGGGCCTTGTTGATGAGGCCGGTAGCAGATGGGAAGAAACTGATCTTGTGGCGTGAGGTTTTGATTCTGATGGATGGCAGCCTCCTACCAGAAGGAGGTGACTGAAATAGTTTGTGGCTGGGGTGCGGGGGATCAGCCACAATCTTCCCTGCACGCCTCAGAGTCCTGGAGGCATACAGATCCTCAAGATTGCAGCCAATCACCTTCTCTGCAGACCGGATGACACACATGCAGTCTGCCTTTGTCCTTGGTGGTGGCAACAGCGTACCAGATGATGATAGAGGAGGTGAGGACGGACTCAATGATGGAGGAGCAGAAGTGCACAATCATTTTCCCTGGTGGGTTGATTTTTTTCAGCTCCCACAGGAAGTACATCCTCTGCCGGTGAGGGAGTTGATGTTCAGCTCCAACTTTAGGTCTTTCTAGATAATAGTTCTAAGAAAGTGGAAAGACTCCACAGTGTCAATTGTGGAGTCACAGAGGGTGATGGGGATAGATGGGGCTCAGTTCTTCTTGAAGTCCTGTTCAAATTGGTGCATTTTTACAAGATAGAATCTTTTTAATAAACTAATACAAAGTCGAGGATTATTGTGGGCTGGAAGCAAATGAATATATGATTTTCATTTTTTTTCGCAAGTAAAAAAAAAAATCATAAAAGTCTAGCTCATATTTGTACTCAGCCACTCTAAGCCAGTTTTGTAGAACCGCAGCTGAAAGTCTTCTGGAGTTTATCTCTACCAGCCTTACACACGCAGGGAGTGAAATCTTTGCTCTTTTTCTTTGGGAGAAAACTCAACATCAGTCACACTGGATGGAGAGCATCTGTGAACATAACTTTAAGTCTTAAAATAGATTTTCAACTGGAGTTTAGTCTGCACTTTGATTAGACACCTCCAATAAATGACTGAGCACGGATCTAAACCACTATAGTATTACTGGTTTTATAGTTTTAGAATGGGTTTATTGGATATTTTAATGTATTTTCTGTGAAAGAGATTGAAAGTCCAGTTTATTTGTTAATTTGAGTTGTTCTGTGGATTTATTTTAATATTTATGTAGATAAATATTATCTACATACACCGATATTTGAATAATATTTGGAAGTATTTAAATGTTTTTTTAGTCCATCCATCCATCCATCCATCCATCC